GAATTGAGCTCCAATATGTGGTGTGTGTTCCATTAATATTTTGGCAAATTCCTTTCCAGCTGTACTTTGATCCAAATTGAAAAGACAAGAAAAAAGTCCAAGGATAAGCAGTTTTAGTCTCTTACAGACCACACAGAAATACATATTTCAAAGGAGAATTTCTTCACTGTTAAAATTTCCATCTTGAAGAGAGGACATGGGTGTGCCACCCTGTCCATGCTGGGAGGTGGCCAGCATGGCTACGCCTGGGAACTCTGTGCTTTACCTGCATGCTGTGCGCTAGAATCTTTTTTTGGGGGGGATGGGGTGGGGAAATCTTTCCTCTATTTGAATAATTTTCCTGTGGTACTTCCGTGTGTTCTGAAGAACCATGGAAACTCATGTCATCAATACATTATGGAATAAAAAAAGCATAAAGAAATTGAGTCTAATTTTTCACTCAACCAATTATCTATACATATAACTTTTAAGAACCTAAAGAAAATTCCTGCACTGATCTTGAATTTTCTCTTAAAGTATTAAAAAAAATTACACTTAGGGAAATTAGAAAAATGTGATTAAGCCACAGGATTAAATATGCAGTACAAAGTGATGACCACTCAATCTATGAAGACCCCTGGTTCAGGTAAATAAGAAACAAAATGACTCTGTGGCAGAGCTGCCGAAGGTCTGTGGACCTCTGTAGTCCCTGCCTGTGACAAATATGACACCATGATGCAATCAGTCCTTTTATGTTGTTCTGTAAGACAATCAGTCCACAATGCAATGGAAATAAAAACACACACTCGTTCTTCTGTCAGCAATTTGAGGTTCACCGGTCTGTAGTAACTAAAAGTCACCACCATGTTCTAACAATGAGTTTTCTTTATAAAGATTCAGAACTAAGAATCTCAAGAACACCCTAAATATAAGAAGTTATGTTACTCTTACTATCTTTGCTTTACTTAAATTTCAGTAATAGTGATGAGACTGCCTTTAGTGGGAAGGAGCAAGGTAATTCCAAAGTGAAACAACAAGTCGTGGAGGTGACCTTGGAGGGTCTTTCACTCACCAAAGCAGTAAGCATTGGCACTATTTGAACCCTGTGTGTGCATCTTGGGTTCCTAAGGTAAAATGAAGGATACACCTGCCCTCTGCAGAACTTGATGTCTAATCAGAAGCAATAGTTTTAATATACCTCCCCTTTGAACAAATATGAAAGTAACTGCATTTAGGGAGATAAATGCACTTTATATATACACACTGTGTGTGTGTGTGTGTGTGTGTGTGTATATATATATATGCATTTATATAAGTATATATGTACATACTTTATATATATAAAGTGAGATGATGCTTGGACAAACTGTAAACAAGCATAAGAGTGAAAATAATTAGTACAATATTTGCCAAATCAAAACCTAATTATTACTTCTAGATGACATAAGAATGCCAAAGATTTACAGGTATCATAAAGTTTGTCTGTGTAGTTATTAAAAAAGCAAAACTATCCTCCAACATCCTTAGACTCCTGCGTAAGAGTTGCCTTCATGTGGCATTAATGTAGTACCGCTAATGGGGGGGGGTCTTCTTTACTTGCATGAATAAAGTGGTAAAAATCTTTGCTAGATACTGAAACACTGGACGCGGGGATATCTTATCATTAACTCATGATTTAAGGTTTCAAGGTAAGAAATGATGTCCCATGTAAAGCTGCAGTGAGCCAGCCTGATTCTAGGTTCTTTCAGCTGAATGTGGAAGTAGGGGGTTTTCATTCTCAAAAGTGGGTCTTCAGGAGACACAGCTGAGAAGACTGGAGGCTGATGGTTAATGGTCTGTACACAGAATTCTTGCTGCAGCACCACTACGGTGTTATAAAAACTAACACCCAGATCAGGAATGACTTAATTTACTGACAATAAACAGATCATATTGTCCTTCAAGAAATGTTACTATTCCTTTGTTTCTTCAAAATGTTCTGGAATGCAGTCTACCGCTCGGACTCTGCCTCTAGTTCACGTTTCTCACTAATAAATTGAGCAGGAGGCCAAGTTTGAAGAGCAAAGGGAAAATACCCTCAGAGCATGACCAGTGCAGGAAAAGGAGAATGGCGGTCTTCCCTGTAGGTAGCGCGCACGCAGCCACCCCCTGCCGCATGGCGGAGGTCACAACGACTCACTAAAGCCGAGGCCTTGCCCACAGCGGTCTGACACCCTGACCTACTCAGACAGAAGCAGAGAACACACAACACAAATGGACAAGTAACACTGTTTTTAAATGTTATTTACTTGCATACTTGACATTTTTTTAAGCCCTATTTTTAAAAGTCAAAACCGGGAGGCAGCAAATATGTGAGAATACAGAAGGGGCTGGCGAGTCTGTTTCTCTGACTCTCTGCCCTGTAGCTGCTGTCCTGAGAGTCAAAGTTCCTATCCACGTAGGCCTGTGTTTTAGTTGGAGGCTTAGATACAACAAACGGTTTCCAGGTCAGGGTGATGAGAACAATGGAGAAAGCAATGCTGAACCACAGAGCTCCTAACAAAGAGATACCTATGTGAAGAGAAGACATGCTTAAGAAATAGGTAAATATTTTTAATTCCCAAACTTTCATACTTCTCTGAACCCAGTCCACCTCAAGCTTATGGATGAAGGCAAAAATTGTTAAAAGTCCTTTCCAACTCAAAAATTCTATGATGTCAGGCTTTAACAAGCTGGACCAACCCTATTAATCCTATAAAATTTTCATTTTAAAATAACTAAATACTATTAAAATTTCAGTAAGGTAGAAACATCATCAAGGAGAAAACAATGAATTATGTGCAGCATCCAATGAAAAGAAATGAGAACTCCTAATGCAATTATTAAAATATATTATTAGATTTATTTGCATGCACTGGGTGCTCAGTTCCCAATATTTCATGACACAGAATAGATGCTCAGTAAATATCTCAACAAATTAATTCAGTCTAACTGAAATCAAGGAGCCAATTAAAATATTCACATCTCCAAAGAGTATGGTAAACATGCATTGTCTGTGGAAATCTGTTACTATCTTCCTGGAAGGCCTACTTTTTGGCTAAGGAAAGATCCCAGTCCATTTCAATGTATGATAATTTATCTAAGGATTTCAACATATGGTAATTTAGTCAAGAAAATAGACAAGTGCCCCCCAAAATGCATGTATTAAAAAACAATTGAGCAAAGATGTCAGACTCCAAGGTCGCTTTTTGTGTGTATAGAATGAACTAACTTAAAGAGGAAACAGCTCCTGATAATGCTAGGAGCCAGCTAAGAGATACAACATGTCAGAGCGCTGAACACTTGCAGCCACTACCATAATAAACATGCACACTGTTGACAGGTATGTCATAACATGGCCATTATCATGGCTAGTGTTAAGGTGCAAAAGCAGGTTACACACAGAGTTCCACTCCTGGAAACAGAGTCTAGAGACCTGAACACACATGTCCACATATAAACTTGTCCACATAACTTCCTTCCTGTTATTCATGATGGCCAAAGACCTAGCCCACATGCCACTGACTAAAGAGACGGCGTATGGCTCTCACTACAATGGAGCAGTAGCCAGTCATAACAGAGGATGATGTACTCACACCTGCTGCAACATATATGACCTTCAAAATGTAGCTGCAGGAAGCCAGTCACAAGGGCAGTGCCCTGTCTGATTGCATTTAGGCAACATGTCCAGAACCAAGGCAGAGCTGCAGAAGCCTCTGGGTTCTTTTAGGGTGGTGGAAATGTTCTGGAATCAGACAGTGGTGACAGCTGCACAACTTTGTGAAGAGAAACCATTGAATTGTACACTTTTAAAGGGTAAATTTCCCAGCATCATATTTAGAGAAGTAGAAGAATCCATCCTACCATTCATACAAAATCTCAGGGGATTTCAAGTACCAAAGTCTTTAAAAAGAACAGTTGGAGGTTTCACACTTTGAGCTTTCTAATTTTACAGCAGAGCTACAGTAATCAATGCAGCACTGGCATAAAGACAGTGGAGTTCACAAGTGGACTCTTGAAATTATCATAAAATGATCTTCGACAAGGGAACCAGGACCAACTGATGGGGAAGGGCTGTCTTTTAGCAAGTGGCTTGGGGAAACTGAACATCCACATGCAGAAGAATGAAGTGGGGCCTTTATCTTACGCCATATACAAAAATTAAAATGAGTTAAAGACCTGTACATTTTTTATCCAAAGATCACAGGGAAAAAGGTTCACTGCATTGTACTTGGCAGTAATTTCTTAGTAAAGCATCAGAGCACAGGCAACAAAACCCAGAAAATGGGACTGCATCAAGTATAAAAACTTCTGCATTCAAGGACACTATCAACAGGTGAAAAGGTGACCAACGTGGGGGTGGGGGGGAGGGAAGGGGGTTTGCAAATCATACATCTCATAAGGGGTTAATGTCCAAAATACATCAAACGCTCACAGTTCAACAACAGAAAACCACCTGACTGAAAGCAAGCAAAGGGCTGGCTGGACGTTTCTCCCAAGGTGGGAGCTAAGCGGCTAACAAGTCTCTGAAGAGATGCTCAATACAGCTGAGCACTAGAGAAAGTCACCCCAGGGCCCAGTGGGACAGCACCTCAGGAAACGAGAATGGGCACCCTCAAAGACCAGAGGCCCGGAGTGCGGACTTATGGGGCTAGTGGTCAGTCAGACCAGAATGGGGGCGTGGATCTGAGGAGGGTGGGAGCTACTGTTTAATGAGCACAGGGATTCAACTCTGCGATATCAAAACATTCAAGAGCTCTTGCATAACAGCGTGGATGGACTTAACACCAGTGAACTTTTCATTTTAAGTGTTTAAAACTGCTTCACAGAGAGGATAAACAATATGTAAGGATCTACTGAAAAGTGTTAACAGGACTGGATCACAGGAGACAAGTCCCTATTATCCCACACATTCAGATTTTTCTTCTGGTTCAACTGCATACATTTGACGTAGAGAAACTGAGGCGCTTTCTCGAGTTCGGACTAAGCCGGGAGAGTGGTACCTGGGCTGGCGTACTTGCAGTCACAGGACATGGCGAGTCACTAACTTTTGGCTCACTTGGGGACGCGGCTGAGCCCTGCGATTCCTGGCTGGCTGGTTGGTCCGGGGACAAAGCGTCACTGCTGTCTTCGTCAAACGAGAATTCACCCTGAGTCTGGGGATAGTCCTCCTTTCCAACACCTAGAGAAAGAGAGGATTCTTAACTTCTTTTGGCACTGGGCAACCAAGCTTAAAGTGAAAAAGAAAGAGAAACACTGTTTGTTCTAAGAACTTTAAAAAACTTGAACATAATGTCCTTCCCATGGGAGAACACACCACTGCCTGGGATGAATACTTGGCAAGAACCGAGCCAAACCTGAATCAGATAAAGTCTCTGGACCCAACTACCAGTTACAGGAAGGACAGGAGACAAGCATGTCTTTAAGGACACCTGCGGTGCGGATGCATTCTGTGAGATCCAGAGTGTGGAGATGCCAGAGGGAGAGCAACTCACTCGGGCTCGCCAATCAACTAGCTACGAGGAGGGAGGAGGACCCTAGCCAGGCAATTAGGACCCGAGAGCTATGTTAGCCCAAGGCAACGTGTGTACCTTGTCTGGGTTCTTATTTGGATCTGGCTGTTAAAGGGGGGGGAAAGTGGGTGTCTGCTGCCAAGTTCCACTCTAAGGAGCCGCCACTACGGCCATGCCGCTACCTGCAGGCCCATTTCGGGATTGAGTGGATCAGCTGCTTGTGCTATTCAGAATCACTGCGGACAAACCACCTAGTATTTAAACTCTTAACTACTGTAAGCTCCGAAATCCCATCAGTAATGGAAACTATAATAGTTTTAAAAAGTAAGACATTCACTTTTCAAAACTGCTTGCTCAGTAAGTGGCATTATTCTGGAATTTTTTCCTGCTCAAGTTCATGCCAGGAGAAAGAAATAATGAAGTACTTGGCACTGGAACAGACTGGATGCAGACAGCACCAGTCATTCCGCTCTTCAGGTACCTGTATCTGCACTCCCTGCTGCTCACCTTGCCGAACTAACAAGCTATTTTAAAAAATATTTTCTAGAAGTAAATAGAACTAAAATAATGAGAAGTTTATAAAATTACTAAAGGGCCCTCCCTGGTGGCGCAACGGGTTAAAGCACAGCACTAAGAAGCTAAAGCCACTTCAGCGTGAGTTCGATCCCCACCTGCCCTGGAGGAGACCACATGGCGCAGCAGACCTCTCCTGACCTGCCCGCTGCTCCCCTCGGCAGTGTACTTCATCAATTGGCCTGTTCTGCTCCCCACTTTGTCTCTGGTGAGGCCTCTCACCACCCCTGCACCTCTAGCCTGTGTCCTAGTTCTGTGTGCATACATAAATAAATCCTTAATGAAATTATGAAATCAACATAAGACTTAAACTTCAGATGTGACAAAGGAATCTATGTTAACTGGTTAAGAGACGCTAGTTTTAAAAACATAGTATTAACAACAGTATGATGATACTGGGAATCAATACCAGAGTTAATAAACTAATTCACAGAGAAAATGACACTCATAACTGGCCCTGGACTTATTTAAATTGCCTTGTTTTAAACTCCCAAGTTTTCCCTTCTCTCAGAAAACAGTGATCCCACAGCCTTGCCTATAATGGCCTCCTTGACACTGGAGTCCACGGGAAGGATGTTCTTCTCGACCAGCTCCATAGGACCAGGCCTCTGAGCAATCTTCTCATTCAGGTCATCAGCTAGACGCGCTCTTTTCAGCTTCATCTGAGTAGCCTGCAGGGATGGCTCTGCAAATGTTTCTACAAGAGGAGACAGTTTAACCATTAATCAAATCACTATTCTCATTCCATGTTATTTCAGGCCAGCTAATCTGACTGAAAGTAAACATATTTATGTGTCTGAACATATTTGGGGAGAGAAAAAATGCTCCGACATATGTTTTCTAGTTTAAGTCTTCAGATAGTTTTGTGCATTGTCCACTCAGTAAGGATGCTCTGAGACTCAAATGAACACGAACACAAACACAAAATTGGGGTGCTGCTGTTGTTCCCTTATGACAGAAGGGTCAAATCTGGGGATATGGAGGATGAACAGCAGATATGGTCTGTGGCTCAAGAAGCTTCCCTGGAAAGTCAAGCCCTAAAAGGGGAGACCCTGCATCTTAGGACTGGAGATTCTCGGCAGGAGCCACTGGGAAGAGCTACAAACTGTATTCTTGCACTGATCACTGTGTGTCTTAGTTGATCATTATAACTAAGGATCTGGGCTTACTTCTGAATATACCACCTGGTGTTTGTTATCAACATTCAGAAGCATCAACTCATCTACTTCAAATGCACAGAAGTTGTGCAACAGATGTGAAATCACCGTAAATATCACAACCCATTCACTTGTTTGTCAATTACTTGTATTTCTGGTAATTCTCATTATCATTTTATTCCACTGTTATAAATAATACAATTAAGTAAAAAATAATGTGGTGTCAACTCCATTTCTGAGTTGAAAGTATTTTGCCTCTTAAAGTTATACAGTAGATGTTTTAATTAAATTCCCCATAATCTCAGGATTAATTCCTCTGCACGTTAGAATCCTGGCGGAAGCCCAAAGCTAGCGTGACCACTACCAGCACCCCTGTGCTCTGCCTGGACTGCCTGCCAGCCAAGCCACACACTTGCCCAAGGTCAACCCTGGCTGCCCACAAAGCATTTAACAGGTGCTTGTGATTATCCATATGTAATTAAAACAGGTATTGTGGGAAGATGGTAAACTGCGGAAATAAAATTGATTCTTGGAAAACTATGGTAAATACTTTGAATTGGTTTTATAGAGAGTAATTAAAAAATTACTCCAATTAGTCTGGGTAATTAACAACTGGAAAAGATTTGAGAAAAAAACTACACAACTTAGGAATTTAAATTTAGATTACTTTTCAAATGCAAGTTTTTGTTCTACCACAAACAGAAATTATAGTTGATGTGCAATGATGGCGTTTTATTCAAGATAATGTGAATTCCATTCACTAAAACCTTCCCCAAGTGAGATCCTAACCATAGGCTGGAACATTGGAAAAAAGTGAACATTTCTGCAAGTTAAATATCACAATGTGTGCCCATTTCATTTTCATAATATTCCTGCAGACTAACTGTGACCCCCAATCATAGTAAAACACTTTTAATTACATAAGCTGATAAAGTGGGAAAAATCAGATCACACATATTACTCTTAGGTTGATGTTTAAATGCTTTTTTTTAGGAGCCTTTTCCCTCTCTCTCATTAATACCATCCAAGTGATATCAGGAACATGTGTGGAAGGATAATATGCCAAAAGTGAACAGAGATTGGATTCTGCTGGGCTCTGTCCCCAGCCACATCACTTCACCTCCAGGAGGCGGAGCTGGGTTTCAGCTGCTGAGCGCTCAAAAAGTAATTTAAGACGTTCGCCTGCCAAATACCTAATGCAATCAAGATTGGGACAATATAAAGTAAGTTGGGGATGTTTTAGGTATTTTAAAAATTACAGATAATAAATTCTTTCTTACTTCAAAAATCCCAACTGAGAATAGATGTCCTTAAAACACCACTTGTATCATACACAAGGTTAAGACTTTAAATGCTGGGGAAAACGTAGAAAACAAAAACCAAGTATGATTCCCTCTCATAGCTCAATGTACTTGCTTTAGCTTTAATTCTATTAATAAGGCCTGTCTCAGTCAGATGGCAAGGTGGAATAAACAGTGCTATTGCTACAGAATGTCTCTTAAAAGTAAAGACATTTTCAGCATGTGGGAGCCATTTACCCAGTTACTTACCAGTAAACTTGCCTCCTTGAAGATTTTCTTATCCCTGACAGCTGGTAGCTGTTCCTATCCTACCATTGGAGTTCTGGAAAAGCCTTTTTAGTCCAGTGGACTTCTGAGATGAGCAATCCAAAGCAGAGAAAAGCATACACGCCTGCCTCCCACCCAATGTGAAGAGACACACACAGATATAGATTCTTTAGATCAGAAGTGACTCTACTTGGGATTACAGAGACCAGCTTGATACTCGGGACTTCTCTGCACAGGCCACTGTCAGCCGTGCATATTTATTCCCTATCAGAGAAGCCAGTCCATTCCCTGCAGCATAATTTGTCTTGCCTGTTACGGTCTTGCCACTAGAATGCACACTGCAGGAAGGCAGCCATTTGCCTGGCCTCATGTCTAGGATGGTGACCACTGAACAGACAACTCTAGCAGCGGTAAAAGTATGGCTTCATTTTTGGACCTATCCTGCCTTTAGGTTTTAGTCCGTATGTTGTGCTCAAATCTCACAGTTTGTAATATCAGCCTAATTCTAATGTTATTAGGCCAGAAAGAACAAATCTAATCCTTCTTCTAATTATAAATGTTTGACAAGTTTTCAGTTTCTTTCTGTATCTTCTTACCACTCAAGATTATCAAGAATCAAGCCACTAGTCTTGCTCAAGAAATTAGAGGCAAAACAAAGAATGAAAGTATAATGTGGGAATTTATGGTGGTGATACCATCTTTCAAGAATACTCTTTTTTTTTTTGTTTAGAGAGAAAATACCCTTGGCCTGACCAAACACCTCTCACCAAAGACAGAACGGAACTGTCCTCATCAGCTTCATAAGTGACTAGGCTTGATCATCTGGGAAATCTGGCAGGCCAATGTGATAACGATCAGGTTGAGCTGGACTGTTGTGGATTAGCAGCAACACAGAAAAATGTTGAGCGTGAGTGTCATACCAGGTAGATACACTGGTCCAAGGGGCTGGAATCTAGATCAGGTCGGGGCTGCTGCATCCGCTAGGCTTAAGGACTTGGTGAGTCACCAGTCCCTCATGGATGAAGGATCTCTGGACTGAAAATGATTTTCCAGAACAATATGGTAGAGACACCTGTGACACCAGCTGACAGGGAGAGTCAGTCCATCAACTGGCATGTGGAGAGTCAAACCTTCCCCATGTATCTAACATAACATTTAGCTTTGGGTCTTCATGTTGCTATCCAATTTGGAGGATGTCAGCCTGTGGGGTAAAAAGTTATTAAAATAGGGATAACCGAAATGGTGGAATTCTCACTTTTCTTGAGAAACTACAGGAAAATAGGAGGAAATAAAACCTTTACCTTCTAAAATGTGCATCCTGACAAGTTCAGAACGATCTGGTCGGCTCCGAATCTTGTGTTTCAAAAAGTTTTCAGTCTCAAAAGAAGAGAAAAAGTGTTATCCTAAGATGGTTTACTGGGGTTTTACTTTTTTTCCCTCAGCAAACTTCATTTAAACAAACTATCTACCCTTTTTGTCACCACTTGATTTTGAACAGAACAGAAATCAGTACTTTGAGAAACTGTTATCTGATCCATGATTTAAAGTGCAGTCTTCAAAACTGCCCAGGGGTTTGGAGTATGTCTGGTATAAAGCAAGCACTTTATAGACTATTACTGGCAAAGTCAAAGGCTCAGCATCCTGATTTTTAAACAGACACAGGATTTTGGTCTCTTAACTAAAATCAATGAAATCTATACTTCAGGTCAATAACAAACCACTTCTATGGCACATTTCCTAAGGTTCCTAGTGTATTTTCTTTGATGAGGTCATGTCCCTGATCACATTTTCTTAATCACAACTGTGCTTAACTCTTAAAAATAGAACTCTGAATCAGGTTCATATTCTATAAGACTCTAAGACATCATTTGTTATATACCATGGGAAAATTCTTCAGGAATTTTTAGAATATGCTTATTTTCATGTTGCATGATAGAAACTATACCAAAAATAAAGTTAAAAAGTTGAATGTGCACAACAGTAATTTTAAAGGACAATAAAAAACATTACTTGATTAGCAATTATGATGAGGTCATCTCAAAAACTAAAGCAAACTGAATGCAGCAATATCCGTTTATTCGGTCACATTCCCCAGGGGCAAAGGTGAGTGACAGACCCAGCAGGGAGCAGAAGCCCTGCACAGTGGTTCTAAACACTGTTCCATCCTGGATGCGAGGAAGAGGAGCGTGCTTTACCGTCTTAAAATAACACAATTTGAATGTCACATAATTCAACAGACTTCCAAGATAAAACCCACCCTAGAGTATATACACCATCTACCCTGAAAATACATTTTTTTCTCAACATATTTAGAATTAAGGCTGCTTGCTACTTGTCCACTGGTACTTTAAAATTAGGAAACAGAAGTAGAACATTTAAAGTGAAATTTCTTACTCGGGCTCGTTCCAGGCTTTTTATCTGCTCATGGAATGCCGCTGGGCTCTTTAAAGCTGTGAAAGGAAAATAAATCAGAGTAATAGTCAAATGTTACAGTATTTCACATTAATGTTTCCTCTTGATCTTATTAGTTCACATCTGTAGTTTTATTTATGTATTTACTAGTTCCTTCAGGAGATTTGCAAATCTGAAAGCTTTGAAGAATCCCAAGTATTTCACAAGGAAAACAAATGGACACTGAAAACAGCGCTGGATATAACGATATCTCAGACACCAGGCCAGACTGGTTCCAACCAATAACTGGGGTAAATTTTCCTGGCCCAAAGACCTGTGCGATGAGTCCTTGACAAGTCTTTGCTCTTAACAGCCATAGAAGCTACTGGAAAGCAGCTCAGATGTCCTCAGGTTAAAGAGTGATCTAACCTTGTCCATGAGGACACCGCATTCTGCATTCAAGAGACTTCAGAACCCAGTGGGTCAGTGCTGCTGCCCTCTATCATGGTTACACTGCTGCTGATCATCAGCACTGCCTCACAAGGTAGGTTATCAGACCCAATGAGATCAAAGTGCAGATGAAAGGCCCCAGACGTTACATGGATTCTTGAAATCATACCGCTAACTGGTGGCAGCCAAAATGGGATTTAAATCTAGCATTCTGAATTTGGAAAGTTCCTGCTCTTTCAACCTTAGTGCAGCTCACTATAAAGGTACAGTGAGTCCTTAATATGTTAATTGCTAGCTTATTAAATATCCTCAAATTCTAGAGGAAGAGTAAATAGTATTTACTGAAGCATCACCCACTGTAGCATTTCTATCAACTATCTGCAAAAATTGTGTACATTCGCCAGTCTGATAATATGCTGCAATGACAACAGCACAGGGGACGAGGCCCACAGGGGCTTCACCCCGCACTCCACCCGTCTGCCCCTGTTTTCACCTCTGGCACTTGAACCAATGCAAAGTACTCCCAGGAACGTAGCCCAAGTGAAGATGCTTTAGCAGTGGTGACCTAAACATCCAAATTTGATCCTGTTTGATTGACTGGTACAGAGTCAGGTAGGTAGGCAGTAGTGGAGAAAATCTGGCAGATTATCACACCAGCTTTTTACTTGATCACAATGCTAGATTTAAAATGTTTAGATAGCCAATTAATACTAGCTTCCCTAAAAGATTTGCTGGGAAAAATATTTCTCACAGGGAAAAAGTGTTCCTTATCATAAATCAAAATAAGGTAATAAATGCATTTCATAGCTTTTTAAAGACAAATAAGCCACTAGTTTGAAGAAATACTTTTAGACTAACATTCAAATAATCACCAAATATGGCAATTAATGGTAAAGGAGACAATCAGAGTACCTGGAAAAATACTCAAAAATCAACTCTCAAAGGAATGAGAGAGCATTGAGTTACTTGGTAACTATCTCTATTTTGGCAAGAAATAAATTATTAATTACAAATAGAATGTTTATCAGTCCTGTAACTAAGGTATATTAATTATACAGGCAATACCATATAATATCAGAGATAATTAATTTGGATAGTACAATGTGGTTTTGAATTAACTTTATCATGTTACTTTTGCAAGTCTAACCCTGGACCAATTTTTAGAGCCATTACTTCAATTATTTCAAAACTGCTATCAATGTTCAAGTTTGAATCAGAATTGTCAGTCTAATTGCAGCAATTTAAAGCAGGTGTTCTTTGTGTAACACAAGAATTCACGTCTATTAAACTGCATCTGGTTTTGAAAATGTCTCCTCCATGCCTCTCTGATGCTGGATGCTGGTCTTTCTTCCACAACTCATTTGATTGTTAATTGCATCCTGATAAAATGGACATAACCGAGAGTAAAGCGTGACAGTCTCGTTCTGGGCCGGTCTGGGTCACATGGCATTAGAGACAACGACAACACTGAAATCTTACGTGGCATGATGCCCTGGTCCACTAGCTGTTCTCGCGTCCTCCTCTGCTGCAGCCTCAGTTGGAGCACTGTAAGAGGGAATAACCGCCATTGAGCTCACAGGCAACTGTAGGGCAACTCTTGACATTCCAGGGGACACCCAAATAAGTTTAATGACACATGTTCTATTTCACGATTGGAGAATACTACTACCGGACACCATCCAATTTGCAAAAAGAAAATTTTGTGACTTCTGCCTTTTGGTAACTCTGAAGCTGACTAAGCATATATTGGGGGAATTACAATTCGATGACTAAAGCTAAGTACTTGTTGTTTAATTACAATCACATAATACTTAGACAATAAATAGCTTATAAACACTCATTATTTAATAAGTTTTCTGTATAGAAAAAGTGATGAGGTTCCTATTTTCATTCCTTAGGTTTTCTTTTTAAATAGCAAAAATTTATCTTAAGGGAAGACAGACTTACATGGAGGACCTTCTTTATTCTGTCTAGAAAATATTTTAAATAGCTTTAATAAATGCCAATTGTACAATAAAAATTAGACCTATGAGATTTAACTAATGACCCAAAGGAAATTTTCTAAATTAAGAACTTAGTTTGGTCATCCACAGACAAACATTTCACAAAAACAAAAAACAAAAAACAACTCATTTCACAAAATTTAAGAAAGTTACGATAGACCCATTATTTTAATAAAAGTAAATAAATCATTAGAACTTGTAGAGAATGAGGTGGACATCACAAAATGTGGAAACCCAACTTACCAAATTTAATAAAAAATAGCCTCCCTCCAGATGTTTTAAACAGATTTCTTATCTAGAAAATGAGCTGATTTCCAGAAAGTAACTTTGAAAAAATATCTTCTTGTTTTGCTTTACAATTTTAAGTTTCCTTGTTGATTTTTGTTTCAAACTACCTACGGAACCAAGGTTATTATTAAGGATTTACTTAGGGACTGTCAATATGCTTAAAACAAACAAAACACTACCTAAGAGTGTCAGGTGGCACAGAAGGAAGACAGACTCTCCTATCGAGGGGATGATGGGCGCAACATGAGACTGGCCCGGACCAGTCTCTTTCCCAGGCTCAAAGATGATGCACAGACTGGCTCTGACTTGAAATACACTGGAGCCCTGAGGATGCGGGGCCTGGAGCCAGCACCCGCACCTTCCTAGTGCTGTCCGCAGAGCTGGACACACAAGAGAGACTTTGCAAAGAGTCCAGACTGCAAAATGGCTTTAAAGTGCACTTATGACTATTAGATAGGATGACCATCCTTTATTAGATACGGAATTTTTAAATTTGCTTCTTTGGGGGCAATGACATCTCATTCTGTTTGGGGCTTCACTGACATGCCATTGGAACTGAAGCAACTATACAAAGAAAAAGAAAATTTTAATGAGTCAAAAAATATATGCACGTTTCCCACATGAAAATGTTTTGTGGTATTGTGAACCAAATCTGCTCTATCACAAAAAATCTTTTCCTCAATAACTTACAGTTATGGAGGACAGCAAGTTCCCCCAGACTTTACTAGGACAAAAACAAGATGGCCTGTGGATCTGTGTCAGTGTTAACAGTCTCCTGTCATCGCTAAGGCCAAAGAGGCTGGTCTGAAACAACATTCAAGAGGCAGAATCCCTAGAAAAGGGAGACTGGGAGAAGAAAAGTAGCCAGGTCCATCTTCAGGCTGACACTTCTGGCACTCGATGGCCTGTGTCTTTCTCTAGCAGTAGGAGCTTTCTTTTCTCCCCAGGGAATCCTCAAAAGAAGGAGTAAAATAGGAAGGATAATGCCAACAGACCCCTTTGGTTTTAAGCAAGCAAGCAAGCAAGCAAGCAAGCAAGCAAGCAAGCAAGCAAGCAAGCAAGCAAGCAAGCAGAGGCACCACACTTCTGAGACATGTATGTGGGCAAACAGCTTCTGGAGTGATGGATACAACTGCCATTGCTGATGACAATGCTTCTCCCTGCCTGGATGCTGCCAGCTGCCTTCCCACCCCCGGAGTGCCCTGGACTAGAAGCCACACTTTCACGCTGGTGCTGAAGGCAAGGGGTAACACCCACGATGAATGCATGCCACCACTCATCAACTGTTAACATACAATAACAAGCACACTCCATTTTTGTTTTCTATTCATGTTCTACAAGGCAAAGCAACAAACGAAAAATCTTACTTATGTCACACTGCTTGAGGGCAGGAGAATAATCTCCCCAACCAATGGTCTCTATCACCTGTATCATTGCCTCACAAAGTAAAAATACGGCCCTGCAAGTCTTACCCAAAGCACTGGTGGCAAGCAGGTGTCCTCAGGTAAGTTCATTTGCTGAGGGCTTAGCTCTCAGGTATGTCTGTGATTGCAAGGACATGATGTGGTAGAAGAAGTTTGGCAGCAGCTGACCTGAAAGTCTGTTTTTAAGCTAAGACAGCAGGAAGAACGTGAGCAGAGGGGCGCAGCTGCGGGGCTCAGCGTGCTGCAAGTCGCTGACTACCCAGCAATCTAGTGCTTGGCCTTACAAACGGAGGGACAGAGCTGGAGACGTTACAGGGAATGCAGCACACTGCCGGGTCGAGAGGCACCGCCACCTCTGATCAGTGGGAAAACACACTGTAGTATTTGCTGACACTAAATGTAACTGGTTGCTTACAACAAAGGCGCTTCTGAGAACAGTTACTAGTTATGATATGTACAAACCAAATATGCACAGGCTTATAATTTTGGGAAATAATTTTTTCCTTTTAGTACTTACTAATAATTCTCATCAAGTTTCTAAAGTAAAGTAAGCTTGTAGTAAATGACAACCAGTACCTGCACCTTAAAGGCAGGGAACCCAGAACCAGGAAGCACACAGCTTGGATGGCGCAGGTGTCTTACTTGTTCAGCACTCTGGGAAGCTGCAGTAGGCTGGGGTTGGGGGTTACTCAGAACAGTGGAGGGGGTAAGACACCCCTAATAGCGCACTTGACTCTTTCAATGAATGACCAGAGGGGCATTCATGGTTGTGGGAAGAGACTTTATCAAGTTTCTCTGGGGTCTTTATGAATTAATCTGAAAACCACCCTGTTCTCTTTGTGGCCTTGATTCTCCTGTCTTTGCAGAGTGGGGAGGGAAACAGATGGCAGATGGCCCAGGCACTCTGCAGCTGTGATTCTTAGGACCAGCGCATAAACCATACACTGGCAGAGCTCTGGAGAGTCTGACATGTTCTGTGTTGACGACACTGCATTTCTGCGACCACAGACCCAAGCTCAGACGCTGCGGTCCAGTGCTGGTGCGGTGGCGGCGCTGGCACAGCTGCTAAGAAGACGGCAGCCAGGCAATGGCCTCTTGTCTGAAGACTCAACCCAAAGGCATTCTCCCCCAGGGCCTCGCTGAGCGATGAGCTGAGTGCTGAAGGGCATATCTCTGAGCGTCCTTTCTATTAGAAAATCGATTAGGATTCAGTATCATTCATGGACATCTTGCAAAGAATTCTATGTAAGAAAACATGTACATCTATGGCATTTTCAGGGATAAAATAGCTCAGGGCATGGACTGCACAGGGCTACATCCTTTCAGAAATCAAAGGACACAGCACCAATAGAATGAAGCAGGACTCATCACAACTGTTCACATGAGAACATTTTTCTTTTTCTTTTAAAGGGTTTATTTATTTATGTATACAGTGCCAGGGTACATGCCAGAGGTGCAGGGGCTGTGAGAGGATTCACCAGAGACAGAGTAAGGAGCAGAACAGGCAGAATGACAAAGTACACTGCTGAGCGGAGCAGCGGGCGGGTCAGGAGACGTTGGCTGTGCCCTGTAGGTCAGCTCCCTGGCTGGGGATTGAACTCATGCTGCAGTGGCTGCAGACAGCTTCCTAGCGCTGTGCTTCAACCCACTGTCCCACCAAGAAGGGCTCATATTAGAACATTTTTCCAAAAAATGTCTCACTTTGAAAAATGTAGAACTGAAGGAGTCCAACACATGGACCAGACCTAAGAGGTCCTTACATTTAAAATGGTTGGGTTTACCCTACAACTCAGCAATCCCACTCCTAGGTATCTACCCAAAAGACACAAAAACACTGATTGAAAAAGATACCTACACCCCCATGTTTATTGCTGCTTTATTTACAATTGGAAAAACATGGAAGCAGCCCAAATGCCCAAAAGTAGATG